GGCAATACAGAACTAGAGTAAACGCCACATTGAAGACCTCTAGAGCTTTATAGACTAGCAGTTTAACAACCCACACTAGAAGTCTAAAGCACTTAATCGCCTTTTAACTCTTAAACAAGGCAAGCTCTTAGTAAGAGACTATCACATAGAGTTTAACCGTCTTAAGATTTAGTCAGGCGAGCAGTTTAGCGAAGCAGCTAAGAAGAGTATGTTCTTAAAGGGCCTTCACACTAAGCTGCAGGAGGCTCTTGCTACAATTGATAAGAATCTATCGTACGAGCAGCTAGTCAATAAGGCAGTAAGAACGTTTGACAACCTCTACCGGGTAGGTCTCGTTAAACTGCGCGCAACGAGCTCCTAGGTGGTAGATCGCCCTACTATAACAACTGCTTAACACGAAGCTAGTCCAAATGTTATAGACTAGGAGCCTTCAAAGGTTAATTAGGCGCGAGAGGCTAGAGGCAAGCCACAACGACCTCCGCCCGACTGCTATCGCTGCGGAGAGCTAGGTCATATCGCGAAATACTGTCGAAACACCACCTAGGTCAAGAAGGCAAGGCCCGCGCTAAGCAACGTTGGATATAAGCTGCAGGAGGAAGTCGATTAGGTGCCGAGTAGCGAGTTAGAAAAAGAGTAGCTCTGGACCAGAGTCTCGGTCTAGAGCCTCTAAAGATGGATCGGCAGATACGTGGCGAATGGAATTAGTTTTAGCAGAAGCATATGCGTCCTCTACCAATTACTGTAGATCTTATTATAAACAACGTAGTAAACGCTGTCGCGCTTATTAACTGCGGATGCCTATGCTATGCACTAATTAGCAAGAGATTTACTTACCGCCACTGTCTAGAGCGCTTTTAAATACCTGCTCGAATGATCGAGGGGGTGAATGGTAAGCTATTAGAGATTAATAAGGTTGCCTAATTCTCGTTCAAGATGCATGGGTACGAAGAGACTGCCTACGCATATGTGATAAATTTGTCCTCTAGTAAGGACGTGTACCTTAGTAGAGGATAGATAAACCACTAGGACGTGTTAGTAGCCTCCGCTAAGAAGAGCATTTTTATCTACTTGAAGGGCATTTAAGTGAGGTTAACTAAAGGGGCTCTACTAGGAGGAGTTAGCTAAGTCAACGCTGTAGCGTTTGCGGCCCTAGTTCGCAGACATAAGAACGCTCCAAACAGCGTTCAGATCTTCGCCGCGTTAATCGCAGATATTAATAAGGCGCTACAACCCAAGAAGCCTGTAAACGTACAAGCACTACTACTAGCGCAGTATTAAGAGTTCTATGAGCTCTTTAACCTAAAAGAAGCTAAGAAGCTGCCACCACACTAAGGGCCAGGAGTGGACCACAAGATCGAGCTGGAGCCGAGGGATGCTCAACTGCTATAGGGACCTCTTTATAGTATATCGCGTAGAGAGCTTCTAGTCCTCTAAAAGGAGCTTATATCACTCCTTAAGAAAGGGTTTATCCGCGTAAGCAGCTCGCTAGCCTTAGCTCTAGTATTGTTTGCTAAGAAGCTTAGGGGAGGGCTCTAACTATGTATCGATTATTAGGCTCTAAATGCGATTACAAAGAAGGACTAGTATCTATTACCACTTATTCGAGAGACGCTCAATAGCTTAAGCAAGGCTAAGTGGTTCACAAAATTAGACGTTATCGCAGCCTTCCACAAGATCCGCGTCGCACCAGGCGATGAGTGGAAGACGGCCTTCCGTACGAGATTTGGATTGTTCAAGTGGCTAGTTACCCCCTTTAGCATGGCAAACTCCCTAAGTACCTTCTAACAATATACTAACTAGACCTTAAGAGAACACCTAGACGACTTCTGCTTAGCTTATCTAGACGACGTGCTAATCTATACTAACGGCGATCTGCGCTAGCATTAAGAGCATGTCTAAAAAGTACTTAGTAAGCTACAAGCTGCAGGGTTATAAGTGGACATTAAGAAGTGCGAGTTCGAAGTTAAGATAACTAAGTACCTTAGGTTTATTATCAAAGCAGGCAAGGGGATAAGCATAGATCTAGCCAAGATAGCCGCAATTCGCGAGTAGGAGGCACTAAAGACAGTAAAGGGAGTAAGATTGTTCTTAGGATTCGCAAACTTCTACTAAAGGTTTATTAAGAACTTTGCACAGCTAGCTGCACCTCTTACTAGACTTATAGGCAACGTCCCCTTCTAATAGGGACCTAAAGAGCAATTAGCCTTTAACAAGCTAAAAGAGATCTTTGTTATGGAGCCAACGCTGGCGGCGTTCGACCCAGATCGGGAGACAGTGCTCGAGTGCGATTCGAGCGGCTACGCGGTAGGCGGAGTGCTATCGCAGTACGGTGATGATGGAGTCTTACGACCCTGCGCGTTCTTCTTGCGGAAGAATAGCGCGCACGACACACACCAACGTCAAGTTTTCTAGAATAGGTGTAATTTTTGTTAAATATATACAAATCCCTTACAAGAAAGTAATTACAGCAAGTTTTAAGACGTGCAGCGTGCGCGCTGTAGAGCTATAAGCTATAAGAGCAGATAGTTGAGACACGTCTCACACTCAAAACAAAAACACACAATGGAGAGCTAGAGGGGATTACAAGAGCGTTTGAATACGCTGCTAGAAACGCTAGAAGAGACCAAGAGATCCACGTCTACGCAGACAACCAGGCAGCAACATATAGGCTTAGCAGCCTATCAGATAGCCCAGGCCAACAATGGTTAATCCGATGCCTAAAAGCAGCCAAGACTATTCAATCTAAGAAGGCCAGCATCCATCTCCAGTGGGCACCAGGCCATAAAGCAGTTGAAGGAAACGAAAGAGCAGACG